TCTTTTCAAAGTTTAATGGTGCTTCTAAAGCAAGATTTTCAGTACTGTTCACGATGCTAAAGAAAGAATGCGGAACTCTTTTTAACGAAAAGGGAAAAAAGGATGAGCCTGAACCCTGAAAGAGGAATGTGCTAGGCCTATTGAAGTTTGTTTGAAACAGGGCAATGGGGATTTAGGATCTCCTGAGACAAAGAATAAATAGTAGAAATAAGGAAAATAGATAATCTAAGTTTGTTTGAAACATTGCAACAGTCGAACTTGAAGATAACTATTTGCTTCTTGCTGCTATTCTAAATTTTCCTTTTCATTTTGTTTTAAAGTTTCCATTTAATCTAGGACGGTGCACATACTCCACTTACTCTGCTTGGTGAGTGGATTTGTTGATACCTAAATGTATGCCCCAACTTCTACTCTTTCTGTGAAGATTTGGCTTTAATCTCAGTTGGCATGGTGAATATAAAATCCCATAAAAGAGTAGGTCTAGTTGTCTCTATCGGCAACTCTGAATAATTTTACTTCACTATATGCAAGTTTTAGTCTCCACTTTTGATAAGTAGAAGTAAAAAGTAGAACGAAATTGTGACCATCTCCAAAGTAACGGATGCCAGCTGAAGTTAAAAGGAAGACTGGACTTAGTTAACCATTATAACAAATAGGTAACAGGATACTTTGGTTGGTGGATGGGGCTGAAAAGTGGGGAGAGCATTGGATAATTGGATTTTTATTATACCACAACTTCACAAACTCTTCCACTACTGACATTTCTAGCAAAATATTTTATTAGAATTCATCTTGAATCCTGGTTGTTTGAAATAAGTTGGATTAGAAGTATGATTGATGTATATTTTCAGTGAGTGGTAAACTGCACTTTGATGTATGCTTTGCTTAATCAGGGAATTATGATTGGATTTTTATTATACCGCAACTTTACAAGCTCTTCCACTACTGACATTTCTAGCAAAATATTGTATTAGAATTCATCTTGAATCCTGGTTGTTTGAAATAAGTTGGATTAGAAGTATGATTGATGTATATTTTCAGTGAGTGGTAAACTGCACTCTGATGCATAGTTTGCTTAATCAGGGATGTACGATTAGCATTTTCCGTCTTTATTCCTCTGCTCATGGATGTATATCCCGCTATACATACCAGATTGAAAAATTTTAGCAAACTAGCTCTTCTTATGTTTGCATTTGGCTGTAAGTTCGGGTTTATGGATCCTTTTAATTTCTGTGATTAAGCAAGATGAAAATCAGTTGATAGTTTGTTTCTTAGACTCTAGTTGGTTTATGTCCACGAAGATGTGGTCAAGAAATCTGTTTTTTTTTTCTCCTCTTGCTTCATGCATCATATTGCTGCTCTCTCCACCTATATCTCTCCTTTTGCCACGGGCATTTAGATGTTGGTCTCTTTTTGTTTTGAATTCAGGGGTTTGCTCATTATCAATTCTAGAAAGCAAAAAAAATGACAGTGGGGATGGTTTTTTCAGGCGATGGCATTGGAGCTAGGGCCATATAAGATTAGAGTAAACTCAGTATCACCCGGGCTTTTCAAATCTGAAATCACAGAAGGTCTGATGGAGAAAGACTGGTTGACTACAGTGGCCTTCAAGACTTCACCCTTGAGAACATTTGGGACATCAGATCCAGCACTGACATCACTTGTTCGTTATCTTATTCACGACTCTTCAGAATATGTCACGGGCAATATGTTCATAGTGGATGCAGGAGTCACCCTAGCTGGGGTGCCAATATTCTCGTCACTCTGAATGGATAAGTAAGTAATATACCGTTCGCACACGGTCCAGAAATCAGTATTTGTTCCCTAGGAATAAAAGAAACTCTCTTCCTTTCTTCGGCTGTGTTTAGAACTCGACTCTATGGAACTTATAAGATATATGCTTTTATCTTCAAAGGGAGGCAAATTTGGTTATGGTTGTGCGTTGCAATTGGAGATTTTTTTTTACAAGATCATTTACAAGGTAGTTAACCTAACCCATGTGAATAATTAATCGGCTTCTATGGATTCTCCATTAAAAGCAATGAAGAAGCTTGGTAGGTGCTTATCCTTTAACTTCTTGTCTATGTAGAATTTGTACTTTGAATTTTTTTTTTTTTTTTTAAATTGATCATTTCGTTAACATAAAAGATAATAACTATAATATACCTTCGCTTCTAAAGTATATAATTAATACAAAAATTTGTTTAAAAAATTGAAATTGTATATGAAGATTTTGAAATATTTAAGACGAATAAAATATATGTAAAAATATAAATTCTTTTAGTTTTTTAACTAAAATTTTTGGCACGGGATAAAAATTACGAATTAGAACAATTCTCTAAGTTTAAACACCAAATTATAAACACAATAAATTTTAAATTTTAATTGTAAGATTATGAATATTTTTTCTAAATAACGTAATATTATATTATCCATTCACACGTGCGTGGTATTGTTGTTATTATTATCATTTGTCTCAGAAGAGTGTTTAAACGAAACGGTGCGTTTGGAATAAAGTGTTGACTCGACGGGTGTATATTAGTTTGTTTCATTCTTCTTCGTCTATGAAAATTTCTTCTGGTACCAATTTCATCTTCTCTGGCTCCGTTTTTGTATTTTGAAATCGAATCAGTGAAACGAGCCGTTAAGAATTTGAAAGTAGCAGTTGTTTTTTTTTTTTTGTTTGGTTTCCATTTTAGTGAAAATTGATCAAATGGTAGCAGTGAAGTCGTTGGAGAAGTTGTGGCGGTATACGAACTCTCGTAAACTTGTTCCAATGACGTCCAATTTGGATCAACCTTTTGGTTTTGCTAGTCGTGCAATCGATGGAGTTGATATCCAGAACAGGTTATCCTCTAATTATGGAGGTTGCCACCCAGAAGAGAATGGGTCTCCTTCGTTCAACATTAACAAGTAAGCCTTTTTCTTTTTTGGGGATATCTCTTTTGCAAACTTGAAGTTTTTTCATTATGCAACTTCCGAAATTCTTGGTTTGGGGTTTGAACTGTGACGTTGATACCACTTTTTTTGCTTTAACTTATGAGGTGATCATTGAACAAAGGAGGGCTCTTAATGTGATTATGCGAACCAAAAATTATTCCTGTTTCCCTGAAAAATACTTTCTGGTTGATAGTCTGTATCGGTTATGAATTTGTTGATATATGCATATGATTTATTTATTTATTTTTTAAACCTTTCGAATTTGATTGAATTTGGATACTGTTATTATTTACTTCAAACCTCCCTATTTCTCTTCTGATGGGTATTCCAGGGAGGCAGCCATTTGGAGAAGGCAAAAACAGAATACGATCCTGGTGAATGGTAAACATGGAAGCCCGAGTTGGAAAAGTATGGTGCTAAGGAATTCTTGTTATTCCCAATATTTGTCAAGTCATCAGTATAGCTCCCATTGTGATGATAAATCTACAAGGGGTTTAGTGAATAAGGTAAGATAAATTTTATTTAAGCTTTTATCTTACCTTTACGTATAAATGAATTTTCACGTGGTGGGAGGAGGGGAACTAATTGATTATCTAATACTTCTTTAGTTCCACATACTTATTTAGGTCCATCCTTGACCAATAGGTTATTTAGCTAGTTCAGAGTATACATTGCCTGGATCTCATCTTTTATTTGCATATTTTGAGGACATAATTTCATTATTATTATGTTTTGGATTTTTTAAAATTTTTGTCTTGGCTCTTCAGTGTATTTTCAGAGCTTGTCTATTCTATCTTTGTTTGAAAGTGCAGCTTTTAGAAAGGATCCCAGAATATGTGAAGATAGTTGAAGTTGGTCCGAGAGATGGATTACAGAATGAGAAGGATATTGTCCCTACCCCTATAAAAATTGAACTGATAAAGCTGCTAGTTTCCTCGGGCCTGCCTGTTGTTGAGGCTACAAGCTTTGTCTCACCAAAATGGGTACCTCAGGTGACTTCTTTACTTGTCCTTTCCATAAATTGTTTAAAACATGTGTTTATATCCCGGTGTTTCTTAAAGTTCTCGTGTTTAATGAAGTTCTCTTGTTTTGTGCTGTAGGCATTTGAATCTTTATATATGATTTATAAATTTATAAATAATCTGACAATTTAATTGGCTACTTTTCATTTAATTCTTTTTGGTAGAGTCCTTAATTGATTATGGAATCTCCAAGAATTAGGATGATATTCCTTGTCAAAGTTTTTACTTTGGAAACGTTTGGGATAAATGATTAATTTTGTGGATTTGAATTTTTATTCGTGTGAAGTTATTTTTTATTCGGCGTAGTCTGAATAGTTATGTAAAATTGGAACCAAACAAATGAACCAACTTCTATTTTGAATAATGGTAGTTCTTTTGTTAAATTGGAGGAGTATTATTTCAATTCCACTCAGAATTTACTTGGAGTTCAATTTTCAAAATTTTGTATATGGACTAAGAATAAAAATAATATTTCACATTGAGTTTGTAATAATAATTCATTTGTTCCAAACATACCCTTTAGTATGAGGCCGCCTATGCTTTTGGTTATGGTGTGATACCATTAAGTTTACTTTCATTGGTGTCTTCTACCTTTGGATGTTCCTGTTGTATAAAACAGTCATGAATATTGCTGTATTAATCTAGTGTATGTTGGGGTACAGCTAGCTGATGCAAAGGATGTGATGGAAGCAATTCATAAGGTCAAAGGTGCTAGATTCCCAGTGTTGACTCCTAATATTAAAGTAAGTAGCTATAGGAGAAAATTATGAAACCTTGAGATATTTTAGAATATTATAAATGGATTCCTTGAAAACTTTCTGATGCTTTTTCAAAGGGTTTCGAAGCGGCTGTTGCAGCTGGAGCCAAGGAAGTTGCTGTGTTTGCTTCAGCTTCTGAGTCATTTTCTAAGTCTAATATTAACTGTAGTATTGAAGATAGTCTTGCTCGTTATCGTGATGTGACTTTTGCTACTAGAAATCTCTCAATTCCTGTTCGTGGGTATGTCTTATTCTTGTATCATATAGTCAGTCATTTATGTCCTCTAGGGTAAAAGTGAACCGGAAAAGGGAAGAAAATCTAAGTTTGGCTCATAAAATGCTGATAAAAAACAATTAAGGCACATTTATCTACTTTCAGAAATTATTACAAGGCATATTAAGATAATTTTCTCGCATTGTTACTGGCTTATATGATCATTTGTCACTCCATGTTTATTAACAAGAGTTACAATTATCTAGTTTGATAATATGTGTACATTTAAATCTTCTATAGATATATATCATGTGTTGTGGGGTGTCCTGTGGAAGGGATGGTACCACCATCAAAAGTGGCATATGTAGCTAAGCAGCTTTATGATATGGGTTGCTCTGAAATTTCTCTTGGAGATACAATTGGAGTTGGTACTCCAGGTAATTCAAGTTATAGTCTGTGAATTTTTTTTTTTCAGATCATTTACTTGTCTCATGTCACAAATGTGAAATAGACCACATTCTCCTTTTTTCCATGAAAATCATGTATCAGCACCATAAATTGTATTCTATAATGGTATATACATGCATTTGCGGTGTGAATTTGTGTTTTACCTTTTGTTTCTTAAGTAGTTTGTGTTGGATATCTTAATGATGTCCATGTTCAGCCTCTCTGCTTGAAAGGTTAAAGGTTTCACTTGGATCTCTTGGCTTTTGACCCAGGTACTGTCATTCCAATGCTTGAAGCCGTTCTTGATGTCATCCCAATTGACAATCTAGCTGTGCATTTTCATGATACATATGGGCAGGCTCTTTCAAATATTGTAGCATCACTACAAGTAAGCTGCTTTTGGTCTTTTGATTTGACATAAAAGGAGTTCATGGAAACTGCATCCCCAAATTTGTGCTTTCATGGTCTGCTTAAGTGGCAGCAATCCTTTTTCATCCATTCCATCTATTTAATTTTCTAAAGAATAACATGTTCTTTTAGCTTCTACTCTTTAAACAAAATACATTTGCTCTCTGAATTTTTACCTAAATTATATAAATCCTAACAGCATAAGAATCAGTTAAATGCCCTAACCTTTTTATTGGCATGTATGCAAAATCCCTTCATCATTCACTATCCATAATTCAGTAAGTTGTGTGTGTCTCATGTTCGTTTATCTTTGTTAACCCCTAAATACCTCGACCTTCTTAATATCTTCTGAAGTAAAACTTAAAAAATGTCTTCAAAACTGAAAGGAAAAAAAAAAATTTTGAAGCCTAGCCGTTACCTCATCTTCATGTTCAATGCTTGAAGCACTAAGCTTTGCTTGCATTTGCAAGGGTTGGTGAAGTGGACAGGCTGGAAAGGCAAGCATGCCCTAGCCCGGTCTTCTTGCTTGAGCATTGTCAGTAGGCAAATCCTCTTAAAGATACATATATTTTTCAATTCATGCAGTTCTTTTTAATGTTTTATTGTTAGTCAAAAATATAAATTACAAATTTTTAATTTTTGTTGGTTACTAATTAAATGATAAATACAGAACTTATTTTATATAAAATTAAAAACAATTTTTATTCAAACTTCGTAGAACTCTTATCTTCTTTTTTGGTGTTTGCGGGGGGGCAGGGGTGAGGGATCTCCAGGTTACATCAGACCTGGGGCCAGTGTAATTTTTCTATTTATAAAACGGTAAGAATAACTTTTTTTTTATGGTGGCTTATTGTGGTCAACATCTCGAAAATAAAAGATTCACTTGCACATTAGGTTACTTTGATGTTGTTACTAGTTTTCATTAATGAAGTTAAGGATGCCAATTTAGTTCAATTTACAAGGCTTATTTCCTCATAGAAAGCAAGTGAAGCATAGGCAAGCAAAAGGGAGTAACATTAATTGTCAGACATTCTCTGTTCCAGTCATATGGAAAAAATTTTGATATGTACCTAATTTTCTTTTCCTTCTCATGGCAATTTTAATCCAGGCTTCACACAACTTGATTTTATTTTATGTCAAATTGACTATTACATAGTTGCTATTTAAGCCGGCTTTTGTTTTCCTAAAGTACTTCATTCCGGCTAAATTGCTGAACACAAGAGTGAGTGCTGATTCAAAAGAATATTTCACTTTAAGGGGGAAAGTTGAAATGTTAAACTGAAACCTTTTGTTGGTATAGTTTGATAGTGGTTTTGAGCACTTGAGATTCTTTCTTCAATTTGTTGGAACCCTTAAACAGATGGGAATCAGCATAGTGGATTCATCAGTTTCTGGCCTTGGAGGGTGCCCATATGCTAAGGGTGCTTCCGGGAATGTTGCCACTGAAGATGTTGTATACATGCTTAATGGGCTTGGAGTTAAAACAAATGTGGATCTTAAGAAACTTATGATAGCTGGTGATTTTATCTGCAAGCATTTGGGACGCCAGTCTGGGTCAAAGACAGCTGTTGCCTTGAGTAGAGTTACAGGTCATGCATGCAGACTTTAAGGTACGAGAACTTGATTATCTGCTAATCTTCTTTCCTGTAAGAAAATGTTTTCAATATCCTCTTTTTCTTCTTCTATGCACCTGCTTCTTTAGTTGCACGGGCCCTGAGTGATGACGATTATGTCTCATTTTATCTGGGCCCAGCATGCCATCTGAGGTACATGTTCGTTTCCAGTGAAGTCATTGTGCAGATAAAAAATTAAGCTATTGTTTCTTGTAGTTGTTTCCAAGTTGCATGAGGTTTTCAGATTCTATGATTAGATTTCCTGCATTGTATTTAACTGGTAGTATGACTCCGCTAAGCAGTCTGCTTTTACTACAGAATCTGGTGATAGATTTCACTGATTAGCTGTGGGGCATAGTGATAGTAGCAAATTAGTCATGTCCCTACTCTGAGGAAAAGATCCAAGTTCAAATCCTTCCACCACCAGCTATTGTAACAAAAACCATTCATTCTAACCTTGTCAGAAAGAAGGTCTGCGAGGGCGGAAGAAAAATCATATCTAGTATTGTGTCCTGAATCTTCATATCAAGGATCACTTTTTTTCATGACACTGTAGGAGTGATTTTAAGTACACTTACCTTTCTGCTGGTAATAGGTTTGTATAACAAATGAAGTGGGCTTATTTGATTGTGAGGACAACAAATTTTAAGTTATCATGTCTCACTATGATCTATTGCCGATAACATGTACCCAAGTTTGTGCCTTCACGTAGGAAAAATTCAGCAGAATCTATATCATGTAATATATTGAAGGGTGAGAATAACTGCCGAATTGGTTATTCTCATCTTAATGGTAATGGCTCATTATCTGATAATGTACTGGTGGCTCGAATTTAATGTCTGTCTGTTGTAGCTTGATCTTCCGTTATTTTCACCATTGATAGCACTGTACTGAGCAGTGTCTTGCTTGGTGCAGCTTTGATCTCAGTATGGGCAAACGTGGGTTGCTCTGAAGACAAGTATGGATTCACTAGTGGGGTATGCTTTCCACTGTTCGATAGATTGGTAGATATATAGCTCGTGCAATATCAGAGCATCCTCCTGTTTATTGTAATTCTGCAAGACCGTGTAAATTTGTCCTCACGAGCATCCATCCAATTGCTATAACTTCGCTCCAGGTCAAGTGATGATACATCGTCCGTAGGAAGGTCCCATTCCCTTGGCGCTTAGGGACAGGTGATCTTCTCTTCGTGGACTTACACAGGAAGAAAACATAATAGCCATTCATCTTTTGATGGAGGCACAAAGAGTCTCCTAGTATTGGGAAAGGCCAAGTCCTGCTGCTATGATGGTTAAATTATGGGGGGAAAAATGTGGATTGGGAAATGTTTAAA